AGTCTCTGCACTAGTGACGAAAACACCCCTTGTAAGCACCCAGTCAAGTCGATGGGAAATAAACACGGCTCTTGAATATGGATATCCTGAATTTGTGAGATTATGACATATAAATATTAGTCAATGAGCATATTGGGCATATTGACTATGAATTTGCCATGGTGGGGGGGTAATCCATTAATCCGTATGATATCACTGACACATGATGTAAGTCATGCTGGTTGACACAATTTGAAGCCCCAAAGAAAGTTTATGTGGGTAAAGCCAATTTCTTGCTGTGGAAACCTTCACTCCTACATGGAGCAAAATATGCAGCACATTTATAAACATCTCAGTTACAGGTATTGAAGGGAGAAGAAAAAAAAGTTGCGTAGCTCTGCAGGTTAGGACTATGTAACTGTGACTGGAAGGTTGTTGGTTCAAAACCTGTGGCTATTAAAAATGTAAAATTGTATTTATTGATTGGATGCTTTTATCCAAAGCGGCATATATTTTTTGAGAAAGTAGGACCAGACAGTCCCGGAAGAAAATGGGGGTTAGGGAAATCGCTCAAGGCTGCAAAGGTGACATTACAATCATGGCCACCACAATTCGTGTGATTAGACTGATTGTATCACTGTTGGGCGTTTGAACCAGATCCTTAACTCTGATTTCCTTCACGTGCCAGATTAATGGATCACCTTGCTCTCTAACCTCCAAGCTTTGCTCTGAGATGTATTTGTCTGTATGCGTCTCTCACAGGCCAGCAAGATGGGACATGCAATGATGGAAATTCTGATGTACTTGCTCCCAATGACAATAAAGAATTCGACTATCTTTTACTTCTTATTAATGCTCTGAGCTATTCCACATGTGCAGTCTGAGCACATCAATTTTGACCCTGTCGGACTTTTGAATGCATCTACACTGTGACCCACATTGAGTAGAAGTCACAGCTCCCATGATAATATTATCGTTATCGTTCCTACATCCTACTCACTTTCCGCCGGCAGGTTTGTACCTCCTTTCATCTGGACCAACAAAAGCCTGCGGAGGCTGGGGCAGCCTGGGGCAGCCTGGGCAAACACACGGGCTCCTGCCTGGCCTGACTGGCTGTGACCTCGCACATGGGAATTAGAATTACCCACTTGTCCTATTCAGGGTTGCAGGGGACTGGAGTCCTTTTCAGAAGCTATGGGTGCAAGGCAGGGAATAACCCAGGATGGGGCGCCAACCCATTACAGGGCACACACAGTGCCAACCACTGCACCACCATGCCCCTCTCCGGAGATAAGTATTAGAAATTAGAAGTAGTCGAGGTGTAAATTTAGACTCAAAATCTGGGCACCTAAATACAAATAACAGAATAAGAGCATCCCTTCTTAACAAAGTGTTGCCTGTTTAATTTTTATTTACATTTTCTTAGCAGATGCTTTTACCCAAAGTGATGTCCAACTGAGAAGGCAGCTCACATCAGTCCCTGGAGCAGCTGGGGTTAAGGGTCGTGCTCCAGGACTCGAAGAAATCACTCTACTGAGAACAGGATTTGGACCAGTAACTTTCCAATTACTGACACAGCATCCTGTAATTAGAGAATTTCCCCCTTTGGTGATCAATAAGGTTCTATCCTATCCTAACCAGCTGAGCTGAGCAGAGCGCACACCTCCTTAAGGTAGACTGCAGGACAGACTCTCCCCATCGTCTTCCTTCTGCACTCTGTCCGAATATCAGAGCATCTCTGACCCATTAGAGGATATCTGTGACATAAACCTCCCTTCTTACACATTTACCAAAGAGCCTTAATCAGATGATTTTATTAAATTTTTAGATATTTGACTGAGGGTCATAAGCATAAACAAATCAAGGAAGTCAACCTACAACCAGCTAAAAAGACAAGCATCCATTCTTCTATAAAGCTACAGGACCAGTAAAGATCAAGTTGTTGATTTCCAGTAGTTAGCAAACTTCAAGTTCTAAAGACTCTTCAAGCTCGCTACTTGCATAAACTCTAAGTTAGGTTAGTTGACCTGTGCTGTTACACTGACAGTCTCAACAGGGTCAAAGCTAGGTATCTTTTACAAGCACAACTGTTCATTCTTGGTGTCTGGAACACAAACGCATGATCCTAATAGATTAGTCAGCATTTTTTTTGCTCTAGTGAAGGTCAGATTAATGTCACACTGTTAAAAAGACACACCGGGTGCCTCTTACACTTTTGTTTCTACTGCAACATTCCTGGTTAGACAGGATTCAAACCTGCTAATCAGCCTAGGTTGACCCAGTAAACGGTGAAGACCATTGAGGGTGGTCATTACAGTGCTCAAAGGAGCCACTCCATGTCGGCTTATGCTAAAGCGTGGGGTGGTCAGAGAGTTGACTGCCCAAGGACTTGCAGGTGAACCTCAAGCACCCCTTGCACCTGTAGCACCCAAAACTCTCAGTGCGAATGGAATCCTGGGTATCTTGAGAAACTTGATCCTTGCAACAAGAAGGAAGCATTACAGACTTGTGTAAACTGTTTGTAGCCTTTTCCAGGGTTTACTAATTAAATAAACTGTCAGAGAGGAATTTCCCCAGCCAACCTGTACTGTGTCCGACATCCCTGAACCTCTTTGAGTTCACTAATGACACTAAGTGCCCCGAGGAGGGCCTTTCCCACCTCTGTTCTCTGAAACTGTCAAACTCTGGCTTGATCCATACAGACCTCTCAGGAATCACCAGGAAGCATCAAGTGCGTTTGAAAAGCAGCAGCTTCAGTGCACATACCCAGACAGGCCTCTTGTTTTTACTGAAGGGTTTCTCTCCAGAACCCTCAGCCAACAAGAGCTCTTTGGCCAGACAATCGAAGTTAATGACCGTCTTGTGTTGTTACTCCAGAAAACTGTTGTTTAAATGGGGCTTGTTTGCGCTCACTCACTGACTGTCCAGTGGAAAACGATCTCAGGGTGACGTGTAGGTCATGTGACCCTCATAAATAGCAAGATGAACAATTTGTAGCATTTTTCTTACTATAATTGTGCTGCTTTCGAACCCCACCCATGACTAAACAGTTAGGAATCATTTTTGAAAATCGATGAGTGAATCAATCAGTTTGCTCTGTGAGAATGTAAAATTCACAATGTGTAAGATCAAAGGAAAAACGGATCTAAAGGCCAGAAGGGCTGAAGATGGACTGGGAGGTGATTAAAATTGAAACTGGGCGAATTCTGTGAAATGGGGTTTATCTGGTGAATCAGTATCCTGGAAATACAAGCAATAATGTTGATTTATTATTATGCACAGTGAAAAACCACTTCCCACACACCCATACAAACACACACACTTTTATCCCATCGACTCTCTTTGTAACAGCACTGGAGCTGATAACATCCTTGGCATTATTCACTTCTTTATCATTCACTTCTTCAAAAAGGCTTTTTTTTATCCATTCACCATTTTTATCAGGGTCTCCGACTTTGGAGAAGAATCTTTTCAGTTTATGGCCACATAGACAGAGAGCTATGTTTACACACAGACAGAGAGTGGCAGGGCATGCACAGCGCCACCCACAGGCACACACACAGACATACACAGACACCCAATGAAAGACAAATATACATACAGACCCTCGCAATAGGCAGCAAATTAAGGCAGTTTAAACATGAATCCTGAAGTCTAACAGCAGAAGGTACAGCATCTGAAAAAGATTTATAATCGACCACACACACACACACACACACACACACATACACACACACACCCGCTCGCACATACACACACGTACACATGCACGCGCACACACATGCTCACACACACACACATGCACACACACACATGCACTCATACATACATGCATGCACGTGCACAAACAGACAGACCTGTAATCATATCATTGTGGGTATCGCTCATTCATTTCTATGGGAAAAATGCTAATCCCAAAAATGGTAACCTTAACCCCTACCCAGCCCTAACAATAACCATAAGTAACCAAATAAAATTCAAGACTTTTGGCATTTTTGATTTGTAGAAAATTGAGTTTTCCCTTATTCATTCATCACGTTGTGGGGACACTTGGTCCCCACAAGGTAAGGTATACCTGGACCACACACACACACACACACACACACACACACAACACGCTTTACTAAAACAGACCATAGCCTCGGAGCTCCTGCTCTACTCTTCCCCTCATTGTGAACTCGTTTCTTTTCTGGTGTTTTTTTTTTTAACGTGTCCGGCTATTGTAAGAACCCCGCGCCCATCTACCGCCTGCTCCTGTCCAGCCACCTCGTGGCCCCAGCCACAGCCCCCAGAGGGGTGGCATTTCAGGTGAGCTGCGGTACGTCGGAGGGTATCAGGATAGGGCTAACAGGAAGTCCTCCCCAGGCTCTTGGATGCAGCAGTGGGATTTCCCTGCCCCTAGGGGCAGCCCGTGCACCGGCGCCGCCCCCGTGGCCACATTTGAAAGCGTGTTATAAATAGATCCGGGTTCCTGGAATTATGTGCCACGGAGCGCACTAAAACGGGACGTGGTTATCGGATATGAGGAAGGCAGGAGCTGAATGGACGTTGGGGGGGGGGGGTCTTAAAGTGAGGGGGGTTAAGGTTGAGAGACATCATAAAGTCAAAGCTTCCCCCGCTGATCCTGGCACAGTCGGGGGTCTTCCTCCTAATGACGCTCTTCACCGGTCAGAGGCCAGACCCCAGTTCCCCTGGCTCGGACAGAAATAGAAGGGCAGCTCAGCCCCCCCCCCATCCTCATCTCCCCCCGCAAACTTCACAAACATGGGGAAAAGAGGAAAAAAATGGCCTGTGCATCCCGTCTGACAGGCCGGCTACGTAAAAGGCTAATGCGCATTCACAATTTGACTTCCCCTCCTTTACAAACAAAAATACCCATGGGGGGCGGCCAGGGGAGGGGCTGTACGCCTGCCATTCTGGACAGGACTCCACTTAGGGTTTGATTTATCTGCTCAGCCGCGGGGCCGTATCAAAGGAAGACCACCCCCCCACCCCCCACAGAGATCAGTGCAAGAGTGAAGCATCAGCTGTTTCCTGGCTCACTGTTTTTTCAGCCTGGTGGATTGTGCGTGTGTTGGGGGGGGGGGGATAGACACGGTCAGTGGTGTCAGCCCTTCTGCCCCCCCACCCCCAGGCACTTCCGCCATGCTTCAACTACTGCAAGTGCCACTGAGAGGACAGGCCGTCGGACCCCGGGCCCAAATGCCAAGAAGCTCCGCACTGAAAGTGCAGCAGTGCCGCTACTCATGTCAAACATGCAGAAAGCCCAGAGGAAGCTCTGAGGAAGCCGAGAAGGTCCACAGAGGAACCGCAGAGGAACACAAACAAAGCTGGAGAGGGAAGTGAAGGTAGGCAAGGTGACTATTACTCTCAAAAATAAGAACATCAAACAGGAACAACGGCCAATGACCAGTTCATTATGTTTATCTTCTAATTATGTCAACGTAACTTCAGAACAGAGGGAACGGTCTGACTCTGAAGCCAAGCAAAACATTCACAAAAAAAAGATCTCTAGCAGCATGTTTGTGATGCATTATGGGCCGTCATAGCACTCCGATTATTATCTGCAGCGGTATAATCATACCAATGGCTGCATCGTCCAGCTGTGGCGATGACGGAGTCGACCTGCCCCCCCTGTGGCCTTTTCAGAGCAACCTTGGGTAGGGGGGGGTTGGGAGTGGCCCACTGCGATGGGGTTAAAGAGAAGGATGGTTTTAAAGGAGTCAGGGACTGGAGAGGAGATGAAAGACATTTACATCCCACAAAGCAAGCTACCTGGCAATACGTCATCAGTTTGCTATGCAGGGAAGAGAGAGAGGGAGAAGAAAGCGGAGGTTTCAATGTTCTAGCATCGAAATTCCGGCGCGGAACCCGAGCGAGTCACCAGGTGTGGGCTGCCCCCCCACCCCCACCATGCGTGACACGTTAGCTTCCTCCCTGCCGTGTTTACGTTCCTCTAATCTGCCGCCGCAGCCCTGCCAGAGATATGCACCCCCCTCTGCACCCCCCCTTACTCTGCATTCCCTGATTGGGGGGAGACAGACCTGGCAGGTGTCCCGAAAGCTTAAATCCTAATCTCACCTCACAATGATATAAATACCGCACTTCCTGCGCCCTCCCGGGTCCAACTGGGTGTTTTTATGTAATGCTGCCTGACTCGGGTTCGAGGAGGACCTGATAAATTTATGAGTCATTTTGCAAGAGAAGTAGGCAAGGCTTACACTCCGAATACAGGAGACAGCATTAATTTAAAGATATTTGCTTTCATTTTTTGTACCCTTGAATCCAGCTTTCTTGCTCTCCATACCCAAAGTTACTTTACGCTGGTGGGGACACCTGTACCCCCCGGTTCAATGCGGTCACCGGGTCAGGTCGGCTGGGAGAACCACCATTTGCGTTCGTTTCGGTTCCCCGTGCGTCAGCAGGGCTTCATGCGGGGTTCCACACCACCGGCAGACAGGAATGGAGAGGAACTGAAAGATCAAGGCAGTACAGAAGACAGACGCAGGGTCAGAGAAGGGTTACATGGGGAGGGAGAGAGAGAGAGAGAGAGAGAGAGAGTGTACCAGTCCTGGGACACAGGTGAGCAGGTCACAGGTGAACCAGCAGAGCAGGGACGGGGGGGTGGGGGGGTTAGTAATTGGAGTGACTGGTGCCTACAGGAGCCTCGAAGTAACACCAGGGTCACCAGTCTGTCACAAAGCCGAAGCTCCATTAGCGCAGTATCTTAATGGAGGGTTGATTTCCACATCCTGTCTCCTGTTATTTTACACCCACACCACTGGACCTGGGATTTTACATTGCAGTGTCCCCCTTACACCCCACAGCCACATGCTTAACTGACCCTGGTCACCCCTTGCTGGGAAACTTCCCGATCAGACCACACATTTGTACATATACACACAGACTGGTAGCGTGTGGCTCAGCAGGTCAGGACACTGTCTCTCTGATCGGAAGGTCGCTGGGTCACATCCCAGGGTCGACAGAGTCATTTCACCATTAGGCCCCAGACCAGTGGGTTTAACCCCCAACCCTTCAGGGATTATCTGGTAAAAAATAAAATGCACCGCCCCAGAGGCTGAGAGGCCCCGACTGCGTGTGGATCGCCCTGCATTAAGCTAAACCCATGTCAGTACCAGTGGTAAAGTTTCATAAAGTAAAAGGAATAAGCAAAAGCATCTATTCCCTGGAGTGTCTTTCTGTGAGGTTTCTCCCTTCTCGCTTTTCACACGCAAACGTAAACAAAACAAGAGCACTACCGCTCTTACTGACAACAATAACACCACACAATATCACTACTACACCTGAATAACATTAATAAAATGTATTATTACACACGAAACCGGATCTCTTGTGATGCGTCATGGTGTTTGCCTTTATTATGGGGGGGTACAGCCTTCCAAGGTAAATGGGGGGCACACCATAAGCCACCTCATGTGCCGAGAGCCCCGTGTGGCCTCTGTGTGCTAAGCTGGCCCCGCCCCCTCCAGCCCCCGGTGATGTGCGCTCGCTCTCTCTGTCCTTCATACCTGAAAATGTATCTTAGATTGTTTACATAAAGCGACTTTAAACGCTAATCTGATGGCTGTTATCTGATCATGTGGGAAGGGCCCGCTAAATCGAGTGCGAGAAGTTCTCACGCACCCTTTTTTCACAAGACGCGATAGGACGCCCGGGCTGCTGGTCACGTGACGCAGTCAGGTGACGCAGCAGAATGACACAGCACAGCGGCAGAGAACCAGCTTGTTGGCATGTCTGCGTCCCTATGAGACGTCAGCCAGCTAAACGATTTCATCCGATTGCCGATGTGCGAACACCGAGAGCAGTGATCTGATAAGCCGACGGAGCGGTTTAAAAAATGATGGACAAGTTTGGTTCTAAGCCCTTGTTCGTAAGCTGGAATTCCTGGCCAAATAGCTGGGATATTTGTCCTTTGAAAGAAATTTAATACCGTACACTATGTCCTCCCGGAGAATGCCACAGACACTTGATTCCCTTCAAAAAAGTTCGGACCTCTAAGACGTGTTTTTTGTTTTGTTTTGTTTTTTTTCTGCAGGTGTGTAGGGTATGACTGTTTGGACATACCATCTCAGCTTGAACCTACTGAGAGACACAACTAGGCCCGCTGCCACAAAACTGGAGACACAGCCCCAAACTCCACACCCCCCAGGCCCTCACTGGGGGTCTTATTTCACCATTGGCATTAAGGGGACGTGCCTTGGATTGTCCAGCCATCTGAGTTTCATACACGCCTCGGCGATTGGAGGGGGGAGGGGGGGCAGTGGGATTTGCGTAAGTGACAGCCAGGAATGTCGTCCCCGCCAGGGCGACCTGTATCTGTCACGGGCACATTAGCCACTGACGCACAAACTCACGGCTCAATGGCGCTGAAGGAAGATCTCGTACTTGCATCGCCCACCCTGGTCTGTTGTCGCGACCCGATTTCCCAGATTCCTCAGCCTGAAACAACCCAACGGACCCAGACAGAAAAATAAATCATGAGATCCACTGCCAAACACTGAATAACACTGGACAACAAAAAAAAACATCCAGAAGCCATGAAACTCTCCAGGCACTACATACAGTGGGCTTAGGACAGGGGTTTGGCTTCAGGACACATGGTCATTAAGTCACGACCCAAAAATGGAGTCAGGGGGGTGGGGTGTGTTGCAATGGATTGCAATAAAAACTGTTGACTGAGTGGCAGGTGGCGACAGTTAACTTTTTTTTTCTTTAACAACCCACTTTTGGGTCACAACCCACCAGTTAAGAAACTGGTTTAGGTGGGTACCAAGTGGGCAGAGGAAGCTTGTGTCAGCCCTGGAGGTTTAAGCCAGGAGACATCAGGCCTTATTGGATTCATTCCCAGCAAGATTAAGCAGACAGTATAGTGGTTCAGAATCTGTCAGAAGGTTATAGGTTCACTCAGCCAGTGGACAGGTCCTTCTGAAGGGTATCTTACTCTGACTAGAACACAATAGCAATTTCATTTAATTTATTTACAGACACTTTTACCCAACAGCAGGGTCAGGTTTACCTGACCCTGAAAAATTAATCCATGCCTTTATAACTTCCAGGCTGGACAACTGTAATGCCCTCCTTTCTGATTGCCCATTTGGATCCTTACATAAACTTAAGCTGGAACAAAATGCAGCAACCAGAGTTCTTACAAACATTAAAAATGTGATCATATTAGCCCTGTTCTATGCTCCTTTCACTGGCTTCCAGTTAAGTCTCAGATTGACTACAAAATACTGCTATTAACTTATACAGCACTGAATGGCCTAGCACTAGAATATCTTGGAGATCTGCTGGTCTCTTATAACCCTCCTTGCCTGCTTTAATCTCAAGGAGCAGGATATCTATTAGTACCTAGAGTAGAAAGTACTATGGCAGGCTGCAGAGCATTCTCTTACAGAGCTCCTCAGCTGTGGAATAGTCTTCCATCGGATGTGCTGGATTCAGGCTCACAATCAATATTCTAGTCTAGACTAAAAACACTCTTATTTAGTCTAGCTTATAGGGACTCTGGTTCCAGCTGCAGCTAACTGCTCACTCCCAGTAAGACCTATAGTGTGAGGTGTGCTGTCTCTCTAGCTTCACACCCCCTTGTGGAATTGGACTGCTGACGTTCAGGGACTCCCCAAGCCTGCGGTCCCACCTGCCTCTCCCTCCTACTTATGCTGCCATAGCCACATGTGCTGCAGGTTACATATTACACTCACCAACTGTTTGCACTGCCTCTAGTCTCCTCTACTTTGGCTAAAGCACTTTTTATTTCCCCTTCCCCTCCTGGGCTGTGCTGCCTGGAGACCTAAATTCTCAAGATATCCTGCCTACCCTGCTGCCTGAGATGCTTCTACTACGTCCTTCCGGGCTGCCCGCCTGTCTGCCTGTGATGTCTCTCCTTCCTTCCCTGCTGCTGTACCACTGCTCATCCTGCCATCAGAAGCAGCACCATCACCTGCCTGTCCCCCACTTTGAGACACTAATGTTAAAATTGTGACTGTGTGAATTGGGACTTTGCTATCTTGCTCATTTGACTTCCTCTGCCGGCCCCTGGAGGATGGGCTCCCCCTTTGAGTCTGGTTCCTCCCAAGGTTTCTTCCTTCTAGGGAGTTTTTCTTTGCCACTGTTGCCTCTAGCTTGCTCACTGGGGGCTTTGGGCGGGGATAATGTAAAGCACTTTGAAACAATGTAATATTGTGAAAACACGCTATACAAATAAAATTGATTTGATAACCTGGAGCAATTGGGGGTTAAGGGACATGCTCAAGTCTTTAATGATGAAAACACTCTGCCAATCCTGGGATTTGAACCAGCAACCCTCAGGTTACCACACTGGATGCCAACAAATATCACGCTTAAAAGAGAAAAATCACTAGTAATACTGTATAATATTTCTAGTTTTCAGGCCCGTTTTCTACAAGTTGCTCTCAGTATTATGAAATGTGCAGCCAGTTCTCACTGATCAACACCAGGGGCGTCGAATAAATCCATCAACTAAGCAATAAAACCCATCAATATTAATAATAATCATAATCATCATCATCATCATTATTATGACATAGACCCTCACCTTCCCTGTAGGCTGTTTTAATTCACTTTATTATGGGCACATGTGTCATGCCAGAGGAGGAGGTTGTGGATGTAGGCGTGGCCAGCGGCACAGTGCTCAAATTAAAGGCCCCCCGATTTAGAGTAAGCCTTGCAGCTAGTGCACTGGCTACAGCGTCTAGGATTTCCCCCACGAAACTAGCTTTGTGGAAACTCACTAAGCTGCGCCATGCCATTCACATTCCCCAGGATCCGGAAGCTCCTCTGCAACAACAGCATTGCCAGATTGGAGTAAGTCCGTTAAATCACCCCCCCAGCACAAGAAGTTTTAATAATGTTATGAAGTAGCATGTGCTCCGAGTCCTGCAGGCAGTGCCAGCACCCCTCCTCTGAGACAAAGTGAAATTCACTTGCTAAGTCAGTGCCCCCTCAGAAGGCAGCGCCCTAGGCGACCGCCTATGTGATCTAATAGGCTGACTGGCCCTGCCTATAGGATTCATCCCAGACTCAACAGACATGATGTTAGACTAACCAGTGCTGATAAATTGTCCATGGTGTGTGATTTTGTATGGGTACTTATTATGCATGCCTGTTTTTTTAAGAAAATTATTTTATGGACTAATGGATTATCTGTGGTGTTTCTGGGCCTGTGATGGTCCTGAAGGACTTGGTTAGGCAGTGTGAGACTGACTCTGGTGGTGAGATGGTTTACCTGGATACCCGGCCCGGTGATCATCAAATTCCAACCCTGTAGGCCGCAGTCAAACTTCTAACCTACCAGTAAATGAGAAGGGGAAGAGTAGACCACACATCATCTCCACTGATGGTGTGAGGGGTCTGGAGACCCTATGAGCAGACACCTCTATCCAAAGTGATGCACAATTGAGAAAGCAGGATCAGATAGTCCCTGGAGCAATTTAGGATTAGGGTCTTGCTTAGGGACTCAACAGTAACGACTGCTCCGCCAGCCACGAGATTTAAACAGGTAACCTTCTGATTACAGATCAACAGCATCCTAACCTACTGATCCACACGGCACCACCAGAGGTGATGAGCCTCACAGCGTTTGTGCAGATTAGAGCATTACAGGTATCCTTCTGTTTTTTTCACATGCATCTATCCCCCTGGGCAACAACCCCACCCTGTCTCACCCCCCTGGGCCATCTTTCCAGCTATACACCATTCCGAAAGGAGCGTTTCCCTCCAGGGAATTGCCCCAGGCTGGCTCTATTTCCACGGAGGTTTATACTAAGCCCGCGGAACACCACGAGCCCGTCAATCACGGGCGTTTCCTCTCAAGAGCCGCCAGAGACGGGATCTGGGCTGTTTGGGTTGACCACATCAAACACACTTGCTTACATTAACTTACCAGCTGGGTGTCCCTGCTGGTGTACCGAGGAAATGCTTCCAGTGCTGGGCCTTTACCCTAGTAACCGGCTAACCACTGCAGCACTGCAGCACTGCAACCCTCCCCCGATCGCGTGCAATGTCAACGAATCAGAGGGCACGCAAAAAGCATCTGTAAAGCACACAGACATTCCTCATTCCCCATAAAACACCACGTTAAACCAGGTGTGAATAGCTACTAATGTGTCAGAACGTGACACGTGTAAGAAGTACTAGAAGCTTTTATAGCTACACTCATGTTTAACAGTTTTCCTGTTCAAAGCCAGCGATTTATGAAACTGTAAGTTTGGTAAAGGCTGGGCAGGAGCCATCAGGTATGATAGACAGTAAGCGACTGCCGTGGATATTTACCCACGATCCCGTGCTGGACCGTCACCTGGGTGGTAGTGCCTCCGTCTGCATGTAATCCCTAATCCTGATACAAATGAGGGAGTTTTCATGTCATTCTCACGAACGGCAGCCATCCCGACGGTGACAGGTTCAGCATCGCTTAATAGCCAGACATAAATCACCCGGCCTGCTTGGAATGAGGCATCGTTAATCACTCGTCGTCACGGTGACGAGGGGGGTATTCGAAAACACTACAATTATAGAGTCGGAGTTTCTCTTGGAAGGTGTGGTGTGGGGGGGGGGGGGTGATAGGTGGACGAGCAAGGAGCAGAAGTTTGGGGGCGGACACCCCACGGTGTCATCACTGTGAGACTGGGAGAGGAGATCTACCCTCCCACTACTCAGATTAGAGCACCCCTCCATAACAACAGCCCCTCAGCTGCCTTCTTCACTCCATACCATGCACACGTTTCCCACCCCCTTCAGCCTGGGGAACTCCCCCCCCCCCCCCCACCACAGCGCCCCCCACAGGCAGCTGGCCCACAGGTACAGCCGATGAGTCACAGCATAAACAGACGGGCTTTATAACATTCAAAAAAACAAATTCTCTGGATTCTGCACCAGACGACTGTGTGTGGCACCTTTACAAACAAGTCTTGCCTAAGAAAGCTATTTTCATATGGGCGGAGGGGGTGGGGGGGGCGCTGTTTTGATGACATGAGGTTACGGCGGCTAGTTTTCAAGGATGACTGACAGGTTCCTCCATCACAGGTGGAAGGAGAGTAAGGCTGAACAGAGGCCCCCTCTCCTCTAACCTTTGTGGTGATGCATCATGTTGTGTTTGCAGTAAGTGCTGAACTGAGGCACTGATTCTTGAGCAGCAGCACTGACAAAATCAAACAGGCGCACAAACAGCAGCGGCAGGGGCAGTTTTTGCGCTTTTCGGGACACAAACCCAACTCCCATAAAAGGCACAAAATTATGATATAAAAAAAGAACAGAAACTGATAAATCAATCTCTGCACGTTACTGTAATTCTGTGACAGGTTTGTTTTTTTGTTATTTTGGTATACCACCCCCCACGCCCACCCCCCCCAACAGCCCATCAGGGTGCATTAACATTCTCTGTACCACATGTGGGGCAGCACAAAGCTGGGGCTTCCTGAAAGAGGAATTAGCCTAGGAATTGGCGTGGGTCTGGCCTGTACCACTCTGCAAGGGGGCAGGGGTGTTGCTCCATTCTGTCTGACAGCTTCTGGTCTCAGGTCTCAGAGGCATGTCTTTGTGTGTGTACCTCTGTTTGCAGGGGGGGGGGCATTTGGTATTTCAGGCAGTGAGGAAAGAGCCATGGGTAGGGTCCCTTAAGGAGGGCCATGGAGCAAGTGGACCATAAATCTGTCCTGTAT